CCAATGGGAGTACACACGCCTCTGATGAGACCACTGCAGAAAAGGCTTGTCTTAATTAATTTTTTCACAGCAGCAAACTGGTTTTTCTTTTTCACAATAAGGTGCAGGGATTTCAAACGCTAAGTAGCTGTTTCATCAAAGTAGACAGCTAGCAAGGAAGCTGGGAATGTCTGATTAAAAGTAAACAGCTGGGAGGGGATTTGGAAATGTGTCATGAAAAGCCAAAAATGACTTTTGAAACTCCATAGAGTAACTAAGGTGTTGCCCCTTTTTTTCTAGAACAATGATAGCAAAAGAGCAACGAAGTCTTTTGAACATTGAGAAACATCAAGAATTTTATGCAAGGGTACTAAAAAGCATTATTTACTTGCATAAATAATATATACTTTGTCAAAACAGACCATTTTTAGGGCCGTAGCAATTAAATGATGCCATAGATGCCATCTAAAACTTTTGGCAATCTGTTGAGATATTGTCCTTGAAGGCAGACATGTAGATCACTACCAGAAAGGTAGAATTAAATTTATTCAGTGGCGGGGGGGGGGGGGGACACAGGTAATTCATTTTAACAATGTATAGTCCAACCATTTTGCTGTTGCTTTATATTCTTTGGCATTGACATTTCCTATCTGTGTTGACCAAAGCAAGTTAACAAAAAGAGCAAAGGCCAAGGAGAATGTTTCAAGATAACATTGTTATTTGCCTGCGCTATAACTGAACAGGGCTGGACATTTAATTGCTCTTTTTCCTTTTTATTATGTGCTTTTAGTATCCATTCTTGTTTTACGCTGTTTAGTTTTTGTTCTGTTGCAGTGTTATAACTTTTGGGTGTACCATTTCGACTTGGAAAGGCATAGTCTGAATTTCCCTTCAAATCAAAGAGCAGAAAAACCTCTCCCTTCCTTAAAAAAAAGTGAAATAAAAAAGCATCAGTGCTTATTTCAATCTGATCTTCAGAGATCTGAAAGCTGTAAAAAGAAGGGATAGCTTTATAAAAAGGAGGATGCCAACTCATAAAATATTTCTATGGTCTTTTTAGAGTTGCCAACAGAAAGGGAGGGGGGAAGGGGGTTTGAAAGAGCAGTGCGGCAGCTTGGAAATCGAAAGTGCATTCCATAAATACTTTTTCAAAGATAGTAACTAGGTGACTGAAGTTTCTGCCGTGCAAATATCTAACTGGAGAACACGATTGATGACTCTTGGCTATGGATGTGTCCCATTGGAGAATATGAATTATGAGACACTCAGGGGGTGGGGGAAAACCAGGGGCAAGGGTGACAGTGAATTACGTGTCTCAGAGTCGGCTTCATACAGGTCATGCCGATATGTTTGCTCCTAATAAATCCTTTGAACTTTTTGAAGCTTGGCTCAAGACTCATGATTTAATTGAGGTAACTGGCAGAATCCTGGCAGTGGAATTATAGGATTTGGAAAGTGTATACAGGTAGTCCTTACAACAGTTCATTCAGTGACCATTCAAAGTTACAACAACATTGAAAAAAATGACCTGTGATCACTTTTTCACACTTATGACTGTTGCAGCATCTCCGTGGTCACATGATCAAAATTCAGATGCTTGGCAACTGATTCATATTTATGATGATTGCAGTGTCCCAGGG